GTGGGTTCAAACTGTCAACCTTTCGGTTAGTAGCTGAGTGCTTAACTATTGCATCACCAGAGCTCCCTTAAGTCATTTAACATTATTTAAATACATCCAAACTGCTGAAATTTAATGTTAGAGCATTTCATTCATCACTAACATTTCCTTGATGGAATCGTCCGGGCACTTATTACATAAACATCACAAATGCTTAATACTCAGTTAGTGATCAGTATCAAGAATCTGGGGAAAAGAGGGGATCGCTGCCATGAGTTAGGCTCCACAATGACTTGTATGGACAGAGGCAGTTTGCCGATCACAGAGATGAGCCACCCATGCTGACCTAATGTTCTAAAAACTGGCAAAAACTGATCAGTTTTTATTTGTTTTCTATCATAAGAATCCTTCCTAAATAGGTACATGAGACTAGGCATTGTCTTTCTTATCCTCAAACTGTCCTGTAAAAATAAACCAAGAACAAAAGAATGAAGCTGCCATAAAATACAAGCACAGAAATAGGTATGCTATGGATTGCGCCACTTAGTCCCAACAAGTAAGACAGTGTTGTTTTGTTTTTTCTCCTCCACACATACAAACAAGAGGAGCTCTACATAAGCTGTCTTACTTAAGAGGAAAAAAAAAAAGAGAGAGAGATAGTATCTGTCACACCTGAGAGGCAAAGAAAAAAGCAGCATCCTCAAAGCCCATTAGGAAAAAAAAGATGCATAGGCTGTGCAGGAATTTAGCTGAATTTCATTTGGTCTCTATTAGACCACCCTACCCTCCAAATAAAAAAACTTTCTGAAACTCAAAGATTCATTTTAATCTCATGATAACATAATTAATATCACACACAAGTAAAATTTTGCTGAAGATAATTCAAATAACAATTGTAGCAGTACACGGACTAGCACAGGCGGATTCAGAAAAGGAAATGGAAATGGTACTTGGAGATATTGAGAGGCGGCAGTTCTGTAATTGGTTAGTTAATATTAAATGGACTGCTCTATTATTACACATGAGAAAATGTGTGTGTGCCATGAAGAAGCTTCTTTAGCTCAGATAAAACGTTCCGGATTACACAGACAGAGGCCTTGACAATCATCACATCTGCATGGTGTGAGTGCCGACCTGAAGAAACATCAAACACTAAACCTCACTAAACATGAGGTTTGCTACAATTATAAGGGAGCCCCTGGCTAGTGGACCAGTTAATGCGCTCGGCTGCTAACTGAAAAGTTGGAAGTTTGAGGCCACCCAGAGGTGCCTTGGAAGAAAGGCCTGGTGATCTACTTCAAAAAAATCAGCCACTGAAAACTCTATGGAGTAAAGTTCTACTCTGACACACATGGGGTCACCATGAGTTGGGACTGACTTGACAGCAACTGTTTTTTTTTTTTATAATTATAAACACACTTCTAGTAAACAATGACATCTAACTATGTCTGGATTTGTGAGTCTACTGAACTATTAACTATAACATCAGGTCACCTATGTAAATCTGGATGAATCTGTCCAGTCAGTATCACAGAGAAAACATTTAAGGCAAGAAAGAAACAAAAATGAGAAACAGTAATAGTAACCTGAATAAACATGTGAGCAGTGTGGAAGATCTGCACCAAAGCAAAAGAATGATGCTCCTTACCAAAAAATCAAAGACATTCTTATTCACTCAACCCTTTCCTCTTTATGAAAAGAGAAATCATTCTGAAAAGCAAAAGAAGGAAAAGCTAGAAGGAAGAGGGGCCCAAGAGATTGCTAACTCCTGCCTTCCTATACCATGTGCTGCAATGGGGTATTTTCTGGCCTATAAGAATAGGAAGAAAAAAATAAACTGTAAAATCTTATTTTTATTTTGCAGATTTAACATACTTCTAAATTAACTAAAGTTGTTAGTTAAAATAGCAAATTTATTTTATATCATAATTAATATAAATAAATTATACATACATATTTTTTGGATAGCAGAAACAGTTTTAGTAATATCTTTTTCTTACAAGTACACGCACACACACACACACACACACACAAAATGATCCCAGCCTTATTTCCACTGTAACGTGCTTGTATGAGACACACTAACTGTAGATGTAAATTAACTGTTCAAAAGGCATAAAACATTTGCACAACTGAAACCTATTTTTCTCCCATAAAGAAATGAGAAAGGTACAACATGGCTGGACCCTATTTCTTGATGCTTTATGTAAAATAAAAAGACAAAACAGAGAAAAGAACATATAAAAGGCCAAGGGTGAATTCAGCTTACAATGGTCTTTTTCAGATTTATCTATTCAAGAAAGGTTTACTGGCCACCCACTATGTGCCAGGCATGGTGTTGTGGCTGACTAGACTTCAGTTCTGATTTGGGATATCTGAAAATCCAGAAAATCTTATTATTTTGAAATTAACTTGCGTTTAATAATATGAGTTTTATGTATATAGAATACTGACTTGAATACCAGTGAAGGTGTTTCAGCAAACGGATGCAATGCTGGAAATGCCTACTCATCTATGCCAAGAAATCTGGAAGACAGCTACCTGGCCAACCAACTGGCAGAGACCCATATTTGTGTCCATTCCAAAGAAAGGTGACCCAAAAGAATGTGAAAATTATCGATCAATATCATTAATATCACACACAAGTAAAATTTTGCTGAAGATAATTCAAA